GAAGAGTTTGTTTTTTAACGAAACCAATAAAAGCGAAGAAAGTGCTAAAATAATGAAAGAATGATCAATTTTTAAATGATCATAAAAAATGCCCGCAACAGTATATATCTATCTTTTAACATTAACACACAAGGACAGGACACCGTCATTGGTAACAGATATCATTTGTAATGCTGAGGAAGTTGTTCGCAAAAATACATTTTGATTCCCAAAATAACTTCTACCCAGGTGAAGTTGCTGGCACAGCTGGTTCATATTCATAATTCTTCAGTCAGTTACACAAATATAAAAAACAGGATCGTTGGTCCAGCTACCTAACTGACCGACCGGTCGTGGGTTCGAATAGCACTTCCATTTATTTGTTTCACATAAATACAAGTGACCCAGTAATTGTCTGTTTAGTCTGTCTCATAGAGAAATCTAATATAAAAAAGTCAAGTTTTATTTAATGTTAATAACGATAGTCAGGCTTAAATAGTGAATAAATGTTATATTAATAAATGATTAGAAAGCAAGCTTTCAATGCAACCAGCATCAGAGGGAAACCTGCTAAAGGCGGTACATAATATCAACTAGAGGTATTAAGATGAAAAGCTTTTATTAACACTCAAAATTCATCAATAAAGTGTTTATTGCTAACGCAATAACCACGATAGCGGGTTTTATAGATGCTCAAGCGGTTTTATGAGCATTAGACATAAAATTTCACATAAAGATGTCTTTGATTATCTTATATTATATGCATTTATGGTGAAAATTACTCCCACATTTACGCTAATCTTCGCAAAGTATATAAGGGTAATTCTGTACACTACTAAAGATAACTAAATCAAAGATATGTGTAGATGATACAACACATAATTTAAATAAAACATTTTTAACAGCTAAAAACGCGGAATATATCATTCATTCATTGGGAGGACTGTCGTGACCACGTCTGCTGTAAAGTATTCTAAACTTCGGGCCGTAATTACAATAAATCGTAATTAAGTTGACTGATTTAGCTCGAGCTTTAAACCGTTAAAAGTCTTTTGTTTTAATGTGTACTACTCGGGTAAACTACAGGCAATATAATCTATTAAGGCATTTTAAGACAATAGGCAAGTGTGCTTAAAATAAAGGTTGAAAATCTTTACAGCCAATTTAATGTACTTATTATTTATTTTAATAGATATTATTTTTATTGACGTTGGGGTCAACTATACTTTTAATACAATTTATTTTGAAACTAAATAATAGACATTGTTATTTAAATTTGGCAGGCCTTATCACTTTTACAAACACATTTTCGTCGACAAAATGTAGACAAAGATTCAGAACCGCCCAACAATGACTCATGCTTCAACCCCTGTTTGTTCGCTATTTAATTGTGGTATTAATGCATATTGATGGAAGGGTTAACCCTTCAACGTAATTTGAATTGCGCTAAACTACATTTCTCTTGTCTATGACAAACAGCTAGATTATTCTACGCCTATATTGTGGTGAATTACCTCAGCCATACAAAATCTAAACAAGATATTAAGAGCGCCTTTGTAGCTAAATAATTAAACGTGTCAAGGGCTACAGGTTCTAGGTTCCAATCCCGTGAAAACGATAGATTGTTTCGGCATGGCACCGACGTCTGATGTACTAGTAGATTAAGACCGATCATTGAAATGGACAAAGAAATGTGTTCACGCGCAATGGCCTACAGGGGGGGGGGGGGTTTGATTTCACTATTTTATAGTTTAATTGAAATTAAAATACTAATATAAATTATTATGTATACGTCTTATATAGCTACTCAACTCATATACAACTCATGGGCCAATTTTCAGCAGCGAAAAATCTCAGTAGAGTTACAAAAACCGTGTTATGTAAAGCTAATTAGCCTAAAAAGCCCTTATCAAAGCGGAAGGCAATTGTATGCAGCATCCGGTGACGAAAGTTACGTACCATTAAAGCCTTAGCGAATGGAACCTTAACTCTTTCGTTTAAGGTTAAAATTTAAATGTTTCGTTGTGCATTTATTTTGCTAATGTACTCCCTAGGTAAAAAACAAATGCTCGGTTATATGCGCAATGTTAAGCGATATTGAGTTTTCGTATTAAGGTATTAATAAACATCCAATTTTATTCTTGGCTGGCTAAACTAAAAGCTAGAATTACAGGTAAGGCGATTTCACGCGTCGGAACATCATAAAAGACCCTAACTTCGTCTTTTCAAGTCTATCTATTGAATATTTAGTCACACTACCAAACACCTGTCTACTACGAGTTCTCTATTTAAACTCGAATTTAGTTTCGTCAAGTTTTTGAAATAATGGTCTGACAGACTCGTTGGTTTGATCCTATTGGGTCCAAAATTTTTCTAAGTAATTTATCTGAAATATGTTAGACTTCGGTTGGAAATTTTGATATTAATTGAGTTGTAGAAATATCGCAATTCCATCCGGGTTATAAAACACTGTTCACAGATGAAGCCTTGTAGCTTAATCGCATTTCGGTTACGGTCTGTGGATTTCCGAATATAATATAACAATGTTTTTATTAAACGTTGCTGTCAACAAGAATCTGAAATTTATTATTACATATTGTTCCGATTCAATCATAAACAACACAGCAGAATCCTTTTGTACAAAAGCGCAATATATTATCGACGTGCAAAATTAATTCGATTCGCTTTCGAGTTCATGTTGCAATAGTATGGGACATTTTCCTAGAATTCAGTAAGGAAGGTTTTTGATACAGAATGTTACATTCAATGTAAAATCGTAGCTTCCTAGAAGTGTTAGAAGAATAAATAAATATTTCGGTACCGTTAAATTTGTTTTGAATGGATCCATTTTGTTTTTACTTACGTTTAGTACAATGTCGAATGGGAACGTTATTTATACTTCTGTTTGCTTGAATTATTAAATTGACAATCAACATCTTTTGAAATAGAACACGGTTTAAAACGCGAAATGTATTCGTTAACTTATTTACTATTTATATTCACTACCGCCCGACCTTTCGGATGTTTTGCCGGAGCCGTGGTCACGATTTCGTGTATTAATCAATTAAAAATTTAAATTACATTTGTACTACTCGCGTAAACTATATACAATAATCATTTGAAAGCAGTTTTTCATATTACTAAGTATGAAGCGAGCCTGCACAATACCTTCTCAATCAGTTATTTCGGTATTTGTACAAAAAGAATAACTGTAAACTGTATTCAAATAACTCTCAGTAACAAAATAAAAATATATTACAATAGAAAAGTAAACAAGTTTGGATAACTGTTCACGGCGATTTTAGGTCATTTTTTGTAACACCTATCTTATCAAGACATAACCGAGAGTGCGGTTGAGATATTTTCGACCCTATCTCTGTGAAATAAGATTTAAAACACAATTAAAGATTTTTTAACACGACTATGTGAAGTGAGCTATAAACAGTAGCCTGCTAATAGAGTGACCACAAATTGTTACTTTTGTAAATACAGTTTGGTAATAGAATAATGAAGGAGAAATTATCGTGCGAAGTTATAACTGAGTGATCAATTTGAGAAGATAAATGTTACCTTTTTTGTAATCCGTAGTTCTAATTCATAATTAAAAAAAACATAATTCATAGAAAATTGATACATTTTGCTTTGTCATACATGGTGTGTGTAAAAACCTATATGTTTCCTATTCGTATGTTACTTGATACCTATTTATATAAAGTTATGATTTTGACAGCAAAGCTTTCTCTGATTTAAGCGTCAAATTAGGTTGGCTAGAAAAAAAATGAAAATCAACTTCTCTTTTTTGTTGTGTTCGTGTGAAATTCTTCCTTTCATAACTTTTTTTGTTTTCACGTAATTTTGAATAAAAGGCAAAATCGGAATATCAGACTATCTAAACTATTTGTTTTTCTTTTCGGGTTTCAAATGCCGTCTTTAACACAATCTTTAACTACGGAAGCGGTACTTGTGACATAAAATTATTCAATTAAGTCCTCGCATATCCCAACATAAATCTTCACTAGCTCATTTAAAAGCCATCTTAAAATCAATTTCCTCTCGTAAAACAACGTCAGAACCAAGCAGACCCGTTCACACGTCCATGTCAATATTATCTTGAAAGATTTGACTTATTGCCACACCTTAAATAGTTGTTCGACAAGAACTAATATGACTTAACGGGATAATTTTACATGTGAAATATTAGTTAAGTTACTCTATTAGCTGGTTAGAGAATCGTTGTGTTAGTGCATCTACAATTACTTTTAAAAGATCAACTTTTTCAAACGTTCAAAATCAATTTTGTGCAGCGCCTCTAGTGATCATAATTAAAACTATATGGCACATAAGATGAATTTATACTAATATTGTGAACCTGAAGAGTTTGTTTATACGCGCTAATCTCAAGAAGTCCTGGTATAATTGGTATATCATAGCGATGAAAAGTGGAAAATGTGTAAGAGGCGGGGAAAATTATTTATCCTTGTGGGTTTCCACAAGTTGCACAGCGAGAACGGTTAAAATTTTCCAAAAAGTATGTGTGTTGTAATTTTGATGCCCAAAAAAATATTTGACGCCGACGCAACTTCGTCTGCGTAAAATAGTCACATTGGTATGATGGTGAAGTCAAAATCCAGAAGCATACTACATTTGGGAATGACAATGAAGAAGATGCTAGATTTTTTGTAGTTATGTATTAGAATTTTACACAAATTACAAGACAAAAGTAATCTGTGTCTTTTCATAGTTCAAAATTTGTGTTACATAACTCAATAGATTAACAATTTAAGTAGTAAATTGAAACTCTGAAAAAGTAATACAAATATATGTTTATTTCGTCTTAGATATTTTCATTAACTGTAAGTTGATCCCCATAATTATAAAACGATTCCTAATCTCAATAGCCATTCTTTTGCATGGCCAATTTGTCACTGTTTAAAGTAAGCATTAAAACATGCAACAATTTAATCTTTGCCAACGTCTTAACGAAGCTTTTGCGGGTCTCGGTACATTACTAAATTGTTAAAATGGTCGTTAAGTATGGTTTTGAAGTATGACTGCAGAGGAAGTTAAGAATGCATATTTATTTTCAAGCTAAAACAACATCTCATATGTAATTAACTTTTAGAATTAAATACCCCTCAAAAATGCTACTCACATACAAAAACAATATATAGATCATATTTCTACTAATTAGCTCTAAGACCCAAAAGCCACTCAAACTATTCTTATTACTAAAACCATGTCTTCAAACTAGGACAACGCATGGAGCCTCAATTTTTTCTCTAAAAAAAGAAATCATGCACGAAATACGACACGAAACCCTCAAGCCAACTAAAGTGCACTACGACATTGTTAAAAAAGATAGAAAATATTTTTATTTTCCCGAGTGCGCCTAGATTAGCCTGTTCACGGAGGCCCTTACATAGCCACTTCGCTGGAAACAATTTTTCACTAGAGGAATGCACGATATTGTAACTATTAATTGACCTATATAACCCCGGAGCGCAAGGATGAGTCCCATTTGACATCGTGGATGACATAACACAAGAATTCCTTCCCCCCATTTAAAGTTGCACGTGCGCCACTCAAGGTCTTGCTACCCCGTGCATCCTCATGTTTGCAATTAAAACGAAAAACCGAGTAGGACAAGCACATACGAGGTAAATAAGAGGAAAGGAGACGCCACTTCTCATTTACCCGAGCACTTTTTATTTCAACTCGCACTCGAGGGAGGTCGTCGGCCAATCAACGTAGTGTGCCGCGCCCGTTCCCATTGGTCGGTTTGAATAGAGAATCCCGAAGAACAAAAGCTGAGGGTAGGTAATAGCGAGTTTTGTTTCTTCGAGTGGTGTTTCACATTCGAGTGATGGAGCGGCTAAAGAACGGACGTCTCGGGACTAATTACCTAAGTTACATGCATTGTTCACGAGGGCACTCGTGCTAAGCTCCCTTCAATTGTCAGGGCGATGTTTAACATTGTTATTTATTGTTCGGGAGCCGGTGTCGGTTCTTCAGCTAGGAAATGCAAAGCAAGCAAATTAGCCGAGTTTGTTCCGCTAACAATCTGAGACGCGTTCGTTCGAGCGACGTGCTTTGAACTGAGATTTTGCTAATGCAAGTTACACTTCAAATATTTGTTGATTTGTCTTTAATTTATTGGTTTGCTTCATGTTTGTTTATTGGACGGATGACATTCAAGTGCTTAGTTAAACCACTGCCATTCGTTTTGTAATTGAAATAAAAAATTCTTATTCGTCTTCATTATATTGATTCTTCTTTACTATTTTATACCCTCAACTAGTGTAACGTAACTAATAAACTATGATTATTGTGAAAATATCTAAAACAGCATGCATTGGTACAACTTTTAAAGACTCAAACTTTAATGTCATGTTTTTAATAATAGCTGGACACAAGGTAGTTTTTCTACGGTTGAAATTGAAACATATAAACATTAATAGAATTAAACAAGTAATTGTAATGACAGTATTAAAGTATAGGCTGATTTATATCAAACGTCAGCTGTCAAATTTGTAGATGCTGTCTTTTGTTTTTCCACACTAGTAAAGATTGATTCAGTGTTAACAGATGACATTTAATTATATTAAATACATTATATATACAATATAAAACGGTTTAAAACTTAAATTAGTTTATTAGGAAAAATTGAAGAAGTAATTAAATTAAAAGCCTTTATTACGAACTCTAATCACAAAATTACAATCAACGCTTCTTTCTAACAATTATTCTCCTACTAATCTATTATCAACAAAAAGTTAAGTACTTTTAAAATCTTTAAATCTATAACAAACTAATATATAGTAAAATTTTAACCAATTTTATTATTAAATTATTATTTTGGGCCTACGTGTCTTCGGACATAAGCCTGCATACTCATCCACAATGATTACATTTCGTGCTTTACCACATGCGTTTAGAACCTAGTTATTGTAGTTATTAATTTTTGATGTCTATCAACTAGATTTTTGTTATTCTTTTATTAGCTCGTTACAAGTAGCAAGTACTTACTATTTTGTACTATTAGCCGTGTACAGTTATTCTGGAGGGTGTTTGTCTTGATCCCTACGAGGACTAACTGGATTGGGGAATCAATGGTTCTCAATTTAAAATAGTGTAACAACCAATCAATTTATAGATTTTAAACAATATCAAACTTTGTACGACCTTTTTTTAAATATTTTACCATTGAAATCACATTTCTTTCTTTTCCAGGAATTTAGCAGCACCTATACGGCCGGTATCGAACAGCAATACATCGGTGGAAACATTCACCACTCTACATAAGGAGAGCTGTCACAGATTAGAGTATTTGGTGGAACGGCAGCAACAACTGTGTATGCTCTCCGACAAAATGGTTCAGGTGGGTTAATTGCGTTTAGTAAGAGAACCATGAGACCCTTTACCGGGTAGATTGTTGGTTCGATTACCATGTCCAACATATTTCTGCTATAGTTTACGCGAGAGCCCTTAAATAAAACTTTAACGGTGTAAAACGCGGTATATTAGTTAAACTTATTTGAAAATTATTTTCGGATGCTTTGCAGCAGTCGTAGCAGCAGCAGTCTTCCTGTGACCACGGCTGCTGCAAAGCATCCAAAACGTCGGGCCGAAGTTAAAAATCATTTTCAAATAAGTTTAACTAATATATCGCGTTTTAAACCGTTAAAGTGTTTTATTTAAACATTTCTACTTAATTTATAACATCTGAATATAAATGTGTGGTAGGAATACCTAAAAGATAGACACTGATACTGCCGCGTACATTTGTTAGATCATTTAAAGAGGACTCATTCTTTCATACATATATATGTTGGTTTCTTAAAATATTTCCTCAGCGCACGCGATAATTCAAATGCTCTATAAAACGCATAATTTTACGAATTTTAGAGATTAGCGCGGCAAACAAATTTTGCAGCTTTATAATATTAGTATAGATGTCGGGTCTCTCCATAAAACCAACCGATCTCGGGGTCGAGATTGTCAAACGTTAAAAATAAAATTGAATGAAGTCCAATAAAAGGCGGGTCATTAAGTAACGAATAAAATAAAAATTGTTTCAATTGAGGACTCATTAATTAGCCATTAATTTTGATGTCCTCGTTAAATGTCTGTTTTACGTGCGAGTGTTGGGAATTGCAAATTGGATAGAAATACTTGAATTGAGCAACCATTTAGGTTCGATTTCTCATTAACGCTGTTCGGTAGGGTTGTCGCTTCTTTACAATATTTTTAATTTTTATATATATTTATATCTAATACCATTTTACATCATTTAACGAAATGCTTACTTAATTAGTAACTAGTATCCAGTTAAATTGAGAAGGCTTTCACGGCTATTATTTAGCATCGAGCGGACGCCATTATCAGGAGATGTTAGCCCCTTGATTGCTCGAAGAATTCCTCCTTGTTTTGTAGGCATGTTGCGTAATATTACTTCATATTATGTTTTTAGTAATACAACAAAAAAACATCTGACAATATCCACCAAAAAAAGAACCGAATAAAAAAATGTATTACTACTTATCTTAACATAATTAAAACTACCACTTTCAAAACGCAAAGTGTCTATCAAAATACTGCGTTAAACCTTATTAAATAATATAATTAAATAGTATGGCAACCCTAAGACCGCCCATTGAGTAATTGTATAGAGATTCGAACGATAATTTCTGTCGGTAAGCCAATCCAGCTACTGTACTTTACTCGCTATTCAGGATTAGAATCAAGTTATTGATATTCAACTGTTTAAATAACTATTAAGTAAACGTAGTGCATATAAACAATAAACAGTTCAACCTTTTGAAAAAATATTTATAAGAAGTGGAACTGTCTAGTATTATTGGTATGGGCCGCGCATTTATCCTACAAGTCACAACTATTAACGGACATGACAAAAATTTATACTAATATTATAAAGCTGAAGAGTTTGTTTGTTTGAATGCGCCAATCCAGAAACTACTGGTTCGAATGGAAACATTTTGTTTGTGTTTGTTAGAGCATTTATCGATGATGGCTTTCGGCTATAACATCACGCTGTGACCAATTGGAGCGGTTCTCAAAAGAACAATGACGTGCGGATACAGCTAGTCTTGACAAAATACATACACGAGAACTTCATCCGCGTTTATGAGCTGGACACTGACGTTTTTACAGACAAAATTTATTGGATCGTTTTTACAGAATATTAAAAAAAATAATAGGGTAACACATTTCCATTCTTTTATTTTTTAATAGCAAAATCTATATTTATATTATAAATGCGAAAGTGACTCTGTCTGTCTGTCCGAGGCTCCGAAACTACTGAACTGATTTAAATGAAATTTGGTACACAGATATTTTAGAGCCTGAGAAAGAGACTTTTTAAATAATTAAAAATTCTACCCCAAGTCACTATTCTACGCGGACGAAGTCACGGGCACAGTTAGTAATACATATATACAATCTAACTGTATCTTAAAAAAAGTAAAACAGTAGAGTAGTAGCAATTGTTTTTAGATGTTCCAAATTTAACAATCTACCTTTACGTACATAACATGTTGAGTAGATATGAAATATGTTCATAATCAAGCTATCTACAACTTCAAACGATGTTGAATATAAGGATTTGTATTTTTTTCCTTTTCTGGATATAAATTGCGTACAAGTAGGTGATAGGGTAGTTATTTTACGATCGCATCCGCTGATCGGTTCTTTGATGTTGAAGTCTGCATAATTTTATAACACAAGTGCATTGAGGAGATAAATAAACTTAAACAACATTAAACGCTTTAATGGATTGGTAGAAAAATTCTGGGTTCGAATCCCACGCAGGTTTTCTCAGGGCGAGCATAGACAGGTGTTTTTTTCCTGTACTAAGAGGGTTTGTAAAATATCTATTTATTTTGAAGCAATTATTTTTAAAGATTAATATGGTTATAATTTAAATTAATTCAATACTATCACAACACACTTAAACGATTCAAAACGCGTAATATATTAGATAAATTTATTTGAAAATTAGCTTCCGGGGAGTTTCCCTGTGATCACGGTTGCTGCAAAGGATCTAAAACACCGGGCCGTAGTTAAAATAAAATAATGTTTAAATAAGTTTTTACTTATATAATACGCGTTTTAAACCGTTAAAGTATTTTATTTAAATTAAATCAAATAACTTAATTAAATTTATGTACATTCTTTATTACCTTTATCCATTTTTATAGTTAATACATGGATCCTATTTACAGATAAGTTGATCAGACTTTTATTTCCGAAATTTGAAGCTAGGCCTACTTACGATAATACTAGGCAATGCGTTGCTACTATTATGTTGGTAAAAATACCAATATGTATTTAGTTAAAATTTACGCTTTGTAAGTAAATCGCGTACTTCTCTTGAATTATAGCGTAAGAGAGCAATAAAATAGTCGATTTCACATTTTTTATTACCGGTAGGTATAGGCAATATAATCTATTTTATAAAATATTGTAACTTCACTCAAGTCAGTACTAAAATATTTACATGTGACTTACATCTTCCTAGTGTCAAATATAATAGTTTCGTTCGGGGAAGACACAAATCGGGATCACGTTTTAATTTAAATAAAATCTAACGAACGGCACGCAAATGTGTGTCTTGCCACAGATAGGGCGACAAGGATTTTAAATTGTCAAGTTTGATCGACTCTGTAGGTAAATTTTTAAACGTGTTTCTTAGCATTTGTTTAAGCTTAAAAGGTCCTGGCTTCAAATACCGGGGAAAAAACAGACGTCAGTTTGCCTGTAAAGAATTTGATAATTAAAATAAAACCAATGTTAACGGTTTAAAATGCAACATGTATTAAACAGGACACGGTGTCTCCCCGTGACCACGGCTGCTGCAGCGTTAGGATGTAGTTTAAATAATTTGAAAATAAGTTCAACTAATACATTTCACATTTTAAACAGCTAAAACTGTTTTATTGTAATATGTACATCGCATAAACATACAAAATACACAGTAGACAGTATTTAAAACTGACCAGTAAAACGATGTTCGTCCCATGCACTAGTCTTTTAAGCGGTGTGTCAGTCAGTAGAATAGGAACAGATTATCCCAAAGGAAGTTTTCTTTTTTTTTTATATGCTAACATAATTGTTATTACATTGTTCTTAAATATTCCAGGTGCTGCAAACAGGAGCAACGCAAGCTGTTGAAGAGTGCCAGCACCAGTTTAGACACAGCAGATGGAACTGCAGTACGGTTGAAAATTCCACTGACATTTTCGGGGGTGTACTTAAATTCAGTAAGTGTATATCGCAGGCCTTTGAACATTGATGTTTTGAGATATACATACGTAATACGTTTAAAATATAAAATATTACTGCTGAAGAGATTATCGATAACCTGTGTATATTAGACTAGCGAAAGTGTCAGCGACTTTGTCCGCATAGAATTGTTATTTTGGGAATCCAAATTTGTATTTGCAAGCCTCTCTTTATCTTTATAAAGTTACCCACGACATTGGTCGCGTCCCGTCGTTCTTGCAAGTTAATCCTAAAAGATAGACATATAAGTGTAGCGGGACATTTTTAGACCATTTAAAGAGTCATTACTATTTCATACATATTTTGAACCGTTTTCATAGTGTAAGCATTGAAAACGCACAGATGTTTCCACATTTCCCGCTGCTTCTTCGATCCTATTAGTCACAGCGCGATGTTTTGTAGCGTTGAAATAAAAAACAATCTCTTCAGCTTTATATATAAGTATAGATTACACTTCTATAAATGACTTAAATAGAAATTTAAATAATTCATTTAAAAAATAAGGAAAATAAACTATATCGATGCTCTGTTTATTTTAGCACAAATAAAATAGAACTTTAAACTTGACAATTGAAATAGTGACTTGAAGAAATCGATGCAATCGCAGCTTTGAAAAAGCCTAAACCTATTGAAACTGGTAAAGCTTTCGCAATATAAGTATTACTTATAAGAGTAACAACAATATAAGTATATTGAGTTACTGAAAATTTTATATTTTTTTACTCCTGAAATTAACTGAAAAATTGTACCTACCTCTTTCCCTATCGTCATATTAAAAAACTTAATTACCAACAACCATTGTTCATCCTTTTTAAATGCAATTACATACATATATATATGCAAACAGATAGTATAACCCATGTTCCATAAACGATGTAAAGCAAGAAAAACATCGTCCTGTTGTGTCTTCGTTTGCTAGTAAAATAGAAGAAACGATTACGTTCTCAGCCCCTTGAACCATTCACAGACTGTATCCGTTCCAGCAACACCACCTGTTAACAATACTAATTGACATCACAAAGGATGTATAAAGTTCAAAGAGACGAGACGTCTTTGATCCTGCCATACTTAATGTTTGTGTTAGAGGCTCGTGAAATTATCATCTAAATCTGGAAGATGTGGAATTTTGAATCAAGTGTTGTCTGTTGTTTACGCGAGTAGTACACATTTTAATATCACACTTATAACGGTTCAAAACGCGATATATTGAGGCTTACCTTACTAAATACATAATGAAAGCGTAGTCTAAAAAAACAACTTAATAATTATGATTCGTGACGGTAATGTAAAACACAAAGTATATCTCATAAAGTATGTTATCAAGGATATATCTCATCTCCCACACGAAATTCATGAAGCAAAATTAGAGTTCTACTAAGAACGAAAATAGCTTGAAGCATCACGCAACGTTTTCTAGTACAAAACCCACACTTACTTCAAGACATTCAAGGAATCACTTCTTGATGGCGTTTTGTTTATTTTCACTTGTCCATTACCGAGATCACGTGTGTAGTGATCGACTCAGTCAGTTTGTTTAAAATGCTATCATCGCGGCCAGAATAGCTTGACCTTTAAGCTGTAAGGGGTTGGAGATATATCAAGGAAAAGTTTTTAAAGCACGGATCTGATTCAGTGGTTCGTGCACGGTCAATGAACTGGTTAAATATTGATAGTTATGAAAATTTAAAATAATTTAGTTTCGAGCTATAAATATAATATGTAACTAGTTATACAGACTAGACCACCGTATTCTATAGGATAGAATTGTTATAAGTTTTAATAAACAATTCTATTATTATATTATATTTTAATTTGAATATAATTTTATTACTTAATGAGAATTTTTAAAAATAAACTTCTTAATATAAAATGATATTCGACTAGTGTAATATTTACTTTAATAATCTAACTTAAAATTAAGCTGTCTGTAAAAATAACATTATATTTATATTAGCTGTGCCAGCGACTGCAGTTGCGTAGAATGATATTATATATATAATTTGTAGGTTTGATGTTACTTTGATCATCAAACCTACAAATTATAATTTATAGAGATGAGGAGGTGGTTTGCAAAAACGTATCTGTTAAGTGTTACGTCGTACGCCGGTCGCGTTCTGTCGTTTTTCCAAGTTAATCTAGAATTATATTTTTGCAGATATTTTTTTGATTATTTCATACATATTTTGAAGTGTCTTGAAGCGTTTTCGCAGCGCACGCAACAGAAACCCTCAAAGATGGAAATTTTCCCTATACCTTCCACTTATTTCACTGTTTTTCTTCTTCTTGATCAAAGCGTGATGCTTTATAGCCTAAAGCTTTCCTCCTAATATATATAAATAAATGCTCTAACCAACACAACCAGTATTTTTCGATTCGAATGAATAGTACCTGAGATAGGCGTGTTCAATCAAACAAAAAATGCAGCTTCATAATATCAGTATTGATTAAATTTTAGTCTGTATTATTAATTTTAATTAATAATCAATTTTAACGATTATACGCTAAACTAACAAAATGTTTGACATCTTTTTCAGAATCGCGCGAAGCTGCGTTCGTGCATGCGCTATCTTCAGCTGCGCTGGCGCATGCGGTGGCGAGGGCGTGCAGTCGAGGCGAGTTGAACGAGTGTTCCTGCGACTCTCGTGTGAGGAAGCGAACGCCAAGACATTGGCAGTGGGGTGGATGTTCAGAGGTATACAAATTGTAACATGGTATAGCATATTTTATTTTTAATTGGGTATAACCTTTTAAGAGTATACATTCTAATTATATATCTATTTATCTAAAAATACATTACTGCATTGGGTTTTGGTCTAGTTTATTATAAGGTTTTCCCAAATTATTCTATTTTATACAATAGGCGATATAGATACCAAAGTCTATGAAATCCCATTTTCTCTAATAGCCTATTTAGCGAACATATTTCTGTGACCGTTTCTTACCGATTTACAAGCAAGTAGTTAATACTACTCTGCCCTGTCTGAACGAAACAGTAATTGTTTATCCGGTACTCAAATCCAAACCTCTCATAAATAACGCAATGCTAGGCAAAACTTTAACCATTTCGTTACTTTATATCTTTAGTAAAAATAATAACACATATGTTTATGTATGAAATAAAATGTTTCAGGATATAAGATACGGTGAAATCTTCAGTCGAGATTTCATCGATGCTAGAGAAGAGAAAGAGACGGACGAAGGTCTGATGAATTTGCATAACAACGAGGCTGGACGTCGGGTAAGCATTATGTTTCATCGATACTAATATTATGAAGCTGAGGAGTTTGTTTCATCATCGAAGGTTCGAAGTGAAAATTTATTTTTATGTTGGTTGGTCCGCCCACCTATCAAGGAAATTTAAAACATCAGCTTGCGACCAATAGAAGCGAAAAAAACTTGAAAACGTTTGATATAATAGAAAAATATATTTATCTTAAGGGTACCTATCCGTTACGTTGGCTGCCAGAATGATTCAAGGAACCAAAAAATATGTATGAGAGAATGATCTTTTACGATGAACTTGTAAAAACGATGGGATGCGAGCGAAGTGGGTAACAGCTAGAATTAGTTATACTCTCTATCTATGACTAGTATTAGCCGTACTTATGAACTTTTCCTTCGTTAATGTCATTTACAATCATCCATATTTCTGTTCTCTCTTAAAATTTTAATTTTCGACGATACACCTATTTCGTTTTCGTTAACTTTAACATATATTATATCGCTTTATCAAAATATGTTAATTTTATTTTTATGTTTAAAACTTCGTTTTTACATAGGCTGTTCGTGGACGTATGCAGCGTGTCTGCAAGTGTCACGGAATGTCTGGGTCTTGTTCTGTCCGGGTTTGCTGGAGGAGGTTGCCTCAGCTTAGACTGGTCGGAGATGCACTGTCTACAAGATACGAAGGAGCATCTCACGTTAAGGTATGTTTAGTAAATTTTTGAACACTGGTGAAAATGGGAAGCATTGGGGCAATAAGATGTTTTTTTTTTATCATTTAAAACACAAAAGTACCTACATGTTTTGTAGGATTCTAAGTTATAGCTGCGGTTTATGCACGTAAAAAAGAAAAAGCATTATTATCATACTAAAATTGTCTTAATTACAAACTTTAAATTATTTTAAATGTATTTAATTTTTTTTTGTTTGTTTATTATATTGACGGAAAGCAGTGATTTTGAACACCATTATGAACTAACTAAAATTAAAACAATACTGTGATACTAAAACTATGAATTACAACATTTTAAATTATAATAACAATTAAACACATGTTAATAACAATTGCAGATCGTGGAAAGAAAGCGTGGTAAGAACATAAGAAAGTTGCGACCAATACACGCCGATATGAAGAAACCGAATAAGACTGATCTTGTCTACTTGGAAGACTCTCCAGATTATTGTGAACCAAATGAAGAGTAAGTTTCGGATTATAGTTTTCTCCACGGGTTGAGCGATAAATGAAAAGTAACTTTATAACCGTTAAGTACTTTTCCTTTAACTAATATAGTAAAGAAATGCTATTGCGCTCAGTATTTTAGATGTGATTATCCGTCGTAACGAAAAAATGGTTCTCGATGAATTTTGTAGCTAAAGCAAAATTAAAAATTGAAAAAATTTACGACTCGGGCAGGACTTGAACCAGCATCCAAAGCTTTCCTTGCTTTTGCTCTAACCGATCTAACTACCTAAAGGAAAATTAGTAAACAATGGCAGCCGTTATCACGGGGGGTAGTCGCCCCAAGACCACGGCTGCTGCATGAGGCATCCGAACGTCAGGTCGTAGATAAAATATTTTGTAAATTAGTTAACTCATACATTTCGGTTTGACTGTCATGTGTTTACTTAAATTTGTACTACTCCCGTAAACTATAGATTTTATCATTAATTGCTGGAATGTTCATCTGCAACGTAATACTTTCTTTATAGCAAATCAAAGTTGGTCAAATTTATCAAGTGCTAGTTGTCCACAAAAGATTTTATATTAATAATAATTTATTAATAATAATCTTTTCAGGCTGGGTATTTTAGGCACACGCGGCCGTACGTGTAATCGTACCTCTGCAGGGTTAGATGGCTGTCGCTTACTGTGCTGTGGGCGTGGCTACCAAACTCGAGTTCGGGATCACGAGGAGAAATGCAAATGTCGCTTCGTGTGGTGCTGTCGAGTTCATTGTGAGATTTGTCGTTCGAAACGTGACCACCATGTTTGTAACTAGGCGCAATATTTTTAAACTGTACTTAAAATTCATAATTACTTTGGTTTATTTGAAAAACAAAGTCAGTTACAAGAACGGATATAAACTGTTTTTTTTATGAAAAGTACTTTAATGCAATAAACTGACACAGTCATTTAATTAATGAGTTCTTTAGCTAAAGAAAACTAAGTAAAATTGTATCCTATACACTTGATGACTTGTATAATGTATCATCACCAGTAATTTGATCCTGATTTAGGGATGCTAGATTTGTGCCAACAATTTACAGTTTATATGGGGATAGAAAGATGAATGTCTGAATTTTATAGTTTGGTAGATTTTTTTCGAAATAGTGAGAGCATTTTTTTAAACAGCGTCGATTATCTTTTGAATTAGAAAGTTTCCTGAATTTCCTAGACCCTGAATTAGATTATAAATGGACTGATTTATTTGATATAATTTAGCGTTACGTCAATTTAAGCTTTAATATTATTTACAGTATTACGACTAACTTATTGTATCTTACGTTTCCGTGTACAAAATGTAAATAAAGCTTTCTTTGTTGATATTTTTCTCGCTATTTATTAAGATGTTAATGGTTTCTAAGTTATTGCTAAGTTCTGATTCTGCCTACATAATGGTAAGGACATTTTTAGCGCTAAAAATTATGCGTAAAATGTTAACTCAGTTTTCGTTCTTGATAGGGCGCATGCGACTTTGCTGGTTAAAAAATAATGTCTCGCCTGTTTTAAATATTTATTGTGTAACGCGTTACGCCGTTATCACACCAAGATTAACCGCCAATTCCTTTCAAATCCCTAACATGCGTCAGTTCTTACATATTAATGTAATAATGTAAATAAATACGCAATATTATGAAATTAAGTTATTTTTACGTTCTACCTCAGATGGAAATCGTTTTGATTAATTTTCATCTTCTAGTGCTTAAGTTATATAACTTGTACATGAATATTAAATTATTATTATTATTAGATTGTGATAGCTTATTAATCTGTGTAATTGTAGTTCATTGTAACTTATCTTAATATTGTACTTTACCACTATGTAAATAGCGCTATAATGCATTCTATATTTATTTTAAATCAACTTGTAACTTAAGGTACTATATTTTTAATTTAACAGTGTATTATCGCACCAAAAAAGGCAGAAGTTTTGTGTTGCCATTTTTAAACACATACTTTAAGGTTTTTATAGTTTTTTGAATAAACTGGTTAAACTATATACATTATGTTCTTTAAAAACTAACTATTTGACATTTCTGCGATAAGATTTTTTTAAAGGAAACTTGTAAGTACTTAATTAACAAGGTTCGATTTGATCAAAGACTTAGAACGTACTTCATAATGTAAGCTATACATTTCTTAGTTACTTTGTGTAAATTACTTAATTAAATGTATCTAAAATTTATGTGTCTATAATTTATCACAATACAAAACGTGTCAAAAACGCTTCAAAAATTATATATATTATTACTATAAATATTTTGGTGTCTTACCAAATTCCAAACATATAGGAATAGGTGGCAACGTTTTTTTTTTATCGCGTCTGCCACTTTCTAATTAAAATACATAATTGTACACGTTTATAATGTTTGTTGAGTGTATAAATATAAAAAAACACACTGCTTTTTAGATGGTTTATAAAGCTAATGAAATAAGCGCCATCTCTCGAACGTAACTAAAACTACTAAAAGTTTTATACTGCATTCTACAAAAGATTACTATAAATGGCTCTATAAGGCGTTAACTATATAAGAGTTCAAGTGATATCTAAGAGATGACGCTAAAATACAATATAAATAAAACACAAATTAAAGTAGGTAAGGGTTTGTATTCAATAATTCGTAATTAAAATACAGTAGTTTGCTATCAACGTCCAAGAGGATTGCCTACCCAGGGGTAAACACGCGGGCAACTAGTACAACTGGCCATCCAGAAAGACTCCTGTAACAAAATGAAAAACAAACAATGTGACACTACTTTAATGTTTTCATTAATTTAAAATTAATTATTTGAGTTGAACTTGATTTAAGAGAATATAGAGTAGCATATGTTTAAATAAAAAGCTTTAACGGTTTAAACAAAAATACATAAAAAAATACGGGCTGCTGCAAAGCATCCGAAACATCGGGCCGTAGTTAAAATATTTTTAAATACGTTTACTTAATATATTTCGCGATTTACATCGTTAGTGTTTGTAAATACACTTAACTTAAATTATAGGGGTTATACAAACCTGGGTGTGTGTAGAAGACAGAGGTCCACAGTTGGTAGGTCGACAACGCCTAGCTGGTACGGTGGCTCTGCAGGGCGCTTTGACGTAATCTTCCAAAGGTATTGGCTTCTCAACCCAATCTAACATCTCAGAAACGTTAACCTGGAATGTTGAAGTATTACATTAGGACATGGAACTAAAAACAATCTTTAAATGAATACCGTTACTGTTTATATATGATATCGCGTAAAATTTTAGTTAATCAGCCTCATTTTGGCCAAAAAGCATTTTGGTAAAGTATGATAATTCTGATGACAAAAAAAGATGAAACAATACTTATACGTTTGAATTGATTGATAAAAAAATGGATTAACAAAACTGTTGCCATTAAAAATATTAGCATACCAAATAAACATCATTCATAGTGTTTATCATGTTTAAGAAACGGATAAGCGCTGCCTGAAGACCAGGTCTGGTTCTTACAGGACCTTCGTGGATGTAGAAACCGAATGGCGCACGGTTTCCAAGGTACTGCTTCTCGAAGTTCTTGACGATAAAGCGGAACCAGCCTTCTTCATCTGCATCTCCTGGCCTGTGAATAAATAATGATGAACATAGACTCTACTTAATCAGACGTTCCAAGGAACAGATTCCAGAAATGGAAAGCCGATATTAGGACTTTTTACTACGGATTGGCTATCCAAAAACGCCTAGACAGACAATACATGTTGCTGAACATTTCGTTGTTAATAATTTAGTAGGACACGAATAACGAGTAAATTTTAATCAAATTATATTACTAAGAATGATTATAGCGATAAAAACTATAATTAATAATATCCTTATCAAATTCATAATGTGCTAAATGGGTTTAACATTATAGAATTCAAAGTACACGCTTAATAATTTTATAAAGATATGAGACATTGATTTTGGGAGTAACCATTCACGATGGCTGTAAATCAATACAAACAAAATGTTATCTTTAGTAGTACTTACTCTACCAGATCATAGGAAGCAGAAGTAATCAAAACTTACGGAGAAAAGCAAGCGTCGACCATAGCGCATGGGAAACCCTCCAAATCTTCCCAAGCGATCATAGGTACTGCCCAGAGACCTGGGAATGACGCAGTGGGGCATGGTGCATTGATGCAGTCCTGGTCTGAAGCGTAATCGAGGGTGTATGGCCAAAGACCTGGGCTCTGGAATTTGATCGTGGGCATGGAGATATCGTATCTAAAGCCAGCCGTTTTCATCATTTCGAAAGATGCGTTCCCAGCCATTTGTAAGAATGGCATACGAAGACCTGAAAATGAAATCGGAGCATTTAAGAATCTCTATTGGAAAATTAAGCACGATAAACAAGTCGTGGTATGGAAGTTATAAATAAGTCATAGGAAGTAATCTGGTTGTCAATTCATGGTTTGTTTTTACAATTAGTTCTTTTTAAAATGATCTGCAGAAGACTTGGCCCTACGAATTAGACTCATTAGGTAGGTACTTCTGATAGCTAAAGTTTATCTCTGTCTCATGAGAAGAAGTTGTTGACCTGATGGATTTTCGGTATTCCTACAACTCATTTAATATCCAGATCTCCAGACGAAGTGTAACAAAAATTATAAATTGGTTGATTAATATTGGACTCCGTTGTTGATTGGACCCACGACCCGTTGGTTACAAGTCATTCATTTATACCATTAGATCAACGAGTTCGTTATAGCTATATAAGTTACTTGTATTTCTCTATTAATACATACACTTCGATATCACATCATCTATGACGTGATATCGAAGAACATGTTGGTAATGTATATACGAAAATATACAGTGTCCGTTTTGTTTTTGTCTGAAGGAGTATATTAGAAAGTTATTACTACAAAATCCTAACAAACCCGTCGAGGGAATTGGCACGTGTTACCCAAACTATCTAAAGCGTTCTCTGATCTTGTGTTCACAATTTTATAGTTGACCTTCAAAAATTTGGAATTACCGATCTTTTAATGTATGACGATATATTGTGTTAATTTTAAATGAGAATGTTTGATGTTTAAATTTTAGCATATTAGCATAAACATGCTAACTTAAACAAGTTTAATTGCTCAAATGACTTTTGTATGTCTCGTTCTCCTTTTTTAAGTTCTAATGATTATGTTACGTGAAATTACAATAAGTTTCAACACCAATACAATACCTTGTATAGCAGCAGCAGGGATCGCTGCAAAGTTAGACGTAAGAGTTTTTTGGTCACCAATTTCCTCCATCAGCCTCTCTTTGTCAGCCTCCATAAAGTAAGTTTGGTTCACGTGTGAGATGGAATGCATTGCGATCTCGAATCCTTGGGTGTACAAATCGTTGACCAGTTGGTAGTTGGTGTATTCATGGCTGACGAAGAAGGTGGCACCGACTGGGCAGTTGTTGAAGTTCTTGCGTCCGTACAACAGAGTCTGGTATGTGGGGTGATTGGAGACTGTTACGCCGTCGTCGAATGTAAGTAGAACGAACTGTGGACGAAGGAAATATATCATAATTTCCTATAGGTTCATTTCCATCTCCTCCTGAATGGAGTGGGGTTCTGAAGTCCAAATTGGGTTTTTACAGTTTTTAGAAGATTGCTGATATTATTTGAAGTTAAATTCCTAATGTATGTTGTTATCTGTGCTTAAATTATTACATTGCAAGTGAGCTTACGTGGAGAATAAGTTTTACAGTTTAAGGAAGTACACTTACTTAACTGAATATAGTTTACAAAAAACATTTTAGACAGACGGGCAGGACTTGAACTGTCATCCACGGCGTACCGTACTGTTACTCTGTGAATGCCAGTTGAAGTCCTGTCCGTATCGTATTTTTTTTTAACTAAATCAACAACAATTTTTTATAAAGTGCTCTCATGTGAAAAATGTTAAAGTTTAAATAAATATAGCTTTTTTTTGCCACATTTTTCGTGTTAACTTTAAAATTTTAAAGGATATTTTTTTTCTTTTTTATGAGACAAGTTGATACCTGCGGAACTCTGTGAGGTAGAAAACCACCAGGAATATCAGTGGTCGAGCATTTACAGTCCGGCAGCTTACATTTCTCTTGATCACACACTTCCGCTAATTTGAGCTCCTCCGCAAAGGCCATAAACACAAACGCTAATACCAACGCCAACCACCTCATTTTTGACAACGATGAGAAAACCTTTTAAAGTCATAAATTTTCCGTATTTATTGCTAGGGATATCTCGTTAATCACACCTCATAATCTGCGTTCCGCGTAATTTTCTTATCTTCCTTATCAAAATAAGATAAATTTTAAATTAATTAGTATAAGTTGTACGAGTTATTTAAATTCTTATTGTGTCTCACTCCCTTAAATAAAATCATGGAAATATTTTAATCGTATTAAGTGACGTCGTATCGAATTGACGAGTTTTATTAGGATGTAGGGTTGATTCGATTGTTCGATTCAACCCTACATGCTAAGAATATGATATTGTTCGAATCATGGAAAAAATGTGAAGTGTTAATTGTGTTACTTTCAGTGTGTCGAATACAATAACAATTCATTTGTTTATCAGCCATATAGCTGGCGCATTTCGCCTTCATTAAATTGAACGCCTGTCTGTCTTACTCTGTCATAATAACTTTCGCAATTTCTTCCTAATATAAGGAGACGTTGAAGAACGGAATGTAGATAGATATAGGTAACGAAGCATTAATATTTGTATCACTCATTTGTGTGTACGCATGTGTAATGTGTAAACTATTGCACAATTATTCAATAAATTAAAAATCTAACAGATTAAAATTAGTATTTTTTATTTATTGAAAGGGATGATTGACTTAGATATAAATAATTGTTTACTTCGTAAAAAAATAACTTAACTTTGATTCCCTGTTTGATATTGCCTTGTATTTAAATTTATTTTCAGTTTATTAATATGACGTCTTATTCTACTTAAATAATGTAGATATATAATAAATGAAGAGTTAAACTTTCTGATCTTTATATGTAAGTTATTTATTTAATAGTTTAGTTTAGTTTATTTTTGGGGACACGATTTATTTTCACTGTTAGAATAGGTTAACTAATATAGTTAGTGTTTTAAACAGTTAAACGGATTTTATTAAAATAATTCAATACTACCTGTAGTTTACGCGAGTAATACACATTTAAATAAAACACTTTAGCGGTTTAAAACGCGATATATGTTAGTAAAACATATTTGGAAATTATTTAAACTACGGCCCGACGTTTTGGATGCAGCCGTAGTCTACGCTAGCGCCATCTGTTACGTCGTCGTTGGTATTTGGCGAAATTTAAATAATTTCACAATTCTTTTTCGTACTTTATCTTGTTGTTGGTTGAATTATGAATGTACCTAATGAACATCTAATCTTAATTAAGATTGAAAAAATTAAAATTTGTTGCAAGTTAGTAAATAGATGTATAATTTACACAGAATTATTTCCAAGTTACTAAATTGATAAGTCTAGTAGAATTTAACGTCCGAGAGGGTTGCCGAGCCATGGGTAAACACGTGGACACGAGATACAGTTGTTCATGTTGAAAAGTTCCTGTAATACAAATAATAATTATTAATGATATGAAATTGTACAGTCAAAAACTGCTTGGATAGCCTTAATCGTAATTATGACGTAAATCAATATTTAAATGATAAAAATGCTTGGGATTGGACGAACCCGCTCTAACAAGAAAAAGATGTTGCGTACTTAAAATACATGAAGGCTGAAAATTTGACTTGGCGATAAAAGAAGTGGCGAGTTTCTTGCCAGTTCTTCTCGTTCGTTCTACGCCCTTGATTTGATAACTGGTAGTAGATGTAAATTGAGTCTATGTTATTAACTAGTTTGACGTTCATAAGTGTATCTAGCTACCAACGATACGAAAGAACAATGTTGCTTGACTTTAACTATTTGAATTAGGGGACTACAACATAAGGGAGACAACTGTGTCATTAAACTAAAAAAATATAATGATCAATGTAGGTAGTTACGAACACCAAAAAAAAAAAATAGCTTAATTGGTAGAGTTGCACACACGGCCGTGGGTTCGGGTCTCGGTGCGTCATGTAAAATAGATTTCAACGTCATATATATATAATATTTAAGTCGTTATAAAATTTATATTTGTTGAATATACAAACGACTACAGGATTATATATATTCGACTACAGGATTTTCTCAATCATTCAGAATCTGAACCTCTGCGTTTTATCCTACTGCATTTATGGTATTGCTGCTGACGACTTTGCTGTGCGAAAAAGCAGTTATATTACTTTAAACATATGTCTGATATCCGTTTAATCTTCTTGACCAAAATATGTATGCATTTAAAGATTAATTTTTAGATCTTACATGTGAGTGTGTAGATGCTAGATTCCGGCAGACAACTGGACGGCATCTGCGACCAGGGAGGATTGTTCTGCAGGACTGCTTGATGTAATCTCCAAGAGCTACTGGTTTCTCTACCCAGTCTAATAGTTCAGATGCGTTCACCTGAAAAAGTCAAAAGAAACGATATCAGCAACAGCGGATGTAAAAAAACCTATACCATTTAACCATGAACTGAAAGGATTGTTACAAACGTACATAATGTTGATAACTATTATATTTATATGAAAATTGTGTTCAAAATAAAGTATTTTGAACAACAATTTGTTTGTTTGTCTGTCGACTAGTCGCCGGCGACTGAGTCTCCATCGACATAAGTTACTATGGTTTAAATGTGAGCCTACGCATTTGGTCGTCGGTCGCCCAAGCAACTCGGCGACTTACCGCGTACTGACGACTAACGCTTTGGTCGCCGAAAGACTGAGTTGCCATTGCGTAATGCGTCTAAATATTTTAAATTTAAGTTGTTCAAGATGAAATTATATTGTTCCATATGTACAAATACGAGAAAGTATGTAGTGTAGTGTGTACTGGTGCTATCTGTAGTGGATTTACGTTTCCTCCTATCACGATGTTTTATTAAAAGAAATTCTAACTTTCATGTGCTAGTGCTCCCATTTTCTGGAATAGTACATAATATATAGAACTATTAATAGGATTCGAATTACCATAAAAACATCTCTCATTGAGTTGATCATGTTTAAGAAGCGAGTCAAGGCTTCCCTAAGACCTGGCTTAGTCCTGACGTAGGCCTCTCGAACAGCAAAGGTGAATGGTGCTCGGTTTCCGAGGTACTGCCTCTCGAAGTTCTCTACGATGAAGCGGAACCAGCCATCAGCGTCCTGGTCACCTGGCCTGTAAGAAGTAATTGTAATGACATTAGCAAAATGCTAAGGACAAAATATAAGTAAAATCTAATTTGACAGATTCGTTTGTGTAATGGTAGCAATATATGGCCATCTACGGGTCATGGGATCTTATCTCTCTCCTTTATCATGATCAGATGTCTTGCGAGCACCAAGAATTAAATTATTTTGACCAATATATTCATTATTAACTGGAAGAAGATTAGTATTGCTAAACAATTTAAGTCAACTTACTGGTTTAAGCAACCGTCAACCGTCGAGCATGCACCTTTTCCCAAGTCCAACCAAGATATCATCGGGATAACCCACAATCCGGGGAAAGATTTTGAAGGGCATGGCTCTATGACACAATCTTGAGTGGAAGCAAAATCTAATGTGTACGGCCACAGACCGGGGTTCAAAGATGATATGGTGGGCATAGAATAGTCGTAACGAAAACCGGCGTCTTTCATCATTTCGAAAGATGTGTCACCGGACATCTGGAGGTATGGCATACGCAGACCTTGAAAGAAAACATAAGGGTGAGTACAGATTATCTATCTATGCCCTTCTTTTTCGATATATCAATGTATGTGCTGTGTATAAAGATTACACATCTAAATTCACCCCTTATAACATTTAAAATGTACGATGTGAAAAGATAGTTTTCGACAACAACGGGCTCGTTGGTGTTATAGTAGGAATATAAGGCAAACTACCAACGAGTCGTGGGTTCGATCCCAACCAGGTAGAAACATGTCGGTTTCTAATTTTTCCGAAAGATATTGAACTTCGCCTGGAAATCTGGACGTTAAATGGGTCGTAGGAATATCAAAATTCCTGGTCTCAAACATGTTTCGGGTTAAGTCCAAAGCTAAAATATATTGATAGCGCATCTTGTTTAGTTGCTATACGCTGCTACCAAGTGGATCCAATGCTTGTCTGTCTCTACCGTTAAGAAAAAAAACTAATACATTTTGCAAATAATTACGATGTTTATAAAAGATTCATATTTAACGCCTCGTTTAATAATGAATAAATAAGGCAGGAAATAATGTAATCAACAAATAACTACTAATCTTATCACATTATATCGCTAAGCTGTAAATACATATTTAATCTGCGTTTGATAACGGTTAATGATAAAAGACATTTATACAAGTGAATTAACAAATCAATATGAACACACAAATAATAAGATAAGAAGGCAAAAGAAATGGTTAGAGTATGCTGCGGTGCCGGTTCAGGTACTAACCTTGATGTAATTTTTTTCAATCTAATGTCAATTTTTAAACTTATATAATGCTATCATGTAAAAATATTGACGATCAAAATTGCACTTGTAGCTATTACTACCGTCGTATAGGTTGTTGATTAATGCTCAATAATAAGATTTACTTGCAAAATATAATCCTTTTATATCGACGAAATTACCTAAATAAAAAAATAATTAATGTCATAACACAACCGCAATTCTTGAATTTAACTTTATTTTTCTTTGAGTTTTTTTATTGATCTTATTCCCTATAAACAATCATATTTACTCATATTAGGGTTACAGAACATGGTCTTCGGTTTTAATGGCTTATACACTATACCTTGAATAGCAGCAGCTGGAAGAGCAGCAAAGTTGGAAATCAGAGTCCTCTGGTCAACAAATTCGCGGGTCAGCGTGTCTTTATCAGCATCCCTGAAGTAAGACTGAGATCCTTGCGAAATCGCGTGGAGCCCGATCTCGAAACCCTGACTGTACAGTTCGTTGACGAACGTGTAGTCACTGTATTCGTGGCTCACGTAGAAGTTTGCCCCAATACCGCAATTGTTAGTGTTCTTGCGACCGAAGAGGAGGGACTGGTACGTGGGGTAGTTGCTGCTTGTGACACTGTCGTGGAAAGACAGGACTACGAACTGGAAAGAGACGATGAAGCATGCAGCGACACTATTAAAAGATTACAAAAACAAAATATTTGATTTAGGTTAGGTTTAATCAAGTTTGGGTGGAAACATTTAGATAAATGACAACGGAATTTGTGTTTAATGAAAACCTCCTGATGATAGATAATTAGCAGTAAGTTGTCAGTAAATAATCGGGGAAAATGAACATTTTTCAACCAACTAGCTGTGCTTTGTTATTAGGGGCATCAAAATTTGAAATCTGAACTTTTATCCACGACGTCGGTCGCGTCTCGTAGTTTTTGCAAAGTAATCTTAATAGGTAAACTTTTACTGTCGCGGACCTTTTTTAGATTATTTAAAGAGGCAACATTGTTGTTGTTGTTGATATTTTTTAGGTTTCTTTAACCGTGTCCGCAGTGGACGCAACGGAAAGCCTCAAAGATAAAAAAATGACTTTCCCAGTTTTTTCCCATATTTCACACTGTGACTATATGTCGCAGCACGTTTTATAGCCTGAAGCCTTCGTCGTGGATAACAGCTATAGTTTATAAAAGAGTATGTTTCCAAAAATATATGCATACCTAATGTAAGATTAAATAACTAAATTAAAATTGTACCATAAGTTCTTCCTGAAAAATTACTCTATTGAACTAGTTAGAGTTTAGTATCGCAACTTACTTGTGGAACTTCGTGGGGTTTCAAACCACCAGGAATGTCAGTCGATGAACATCTACAGTTAGGTAGTTTGCAATTTTCGTTTGTACATTCATCTACTGTGTTATTTTGGGCATAGGCCACCAGCACAAACGTGAAGAACACCAGCACTGACCTCATTGTGGGCGATAATGTTAGCAATTAATTGTAATTTGATTGTATTTATTGAATTGCTTATCTACTACTGTTTAGTGTTAAGCGGACATCCGATATTACAATAGCCGACACGATTTGTGTTTTTTATAGGAAATGAACTATTCGATTTATTAAACTATTACGATGTCTTACAAATTTTATGACTTTTTAAAATCTTTAACCACATATTCAAAAAGCTACAACTTAGCTATTTTCACGAGTATGTCTTCTCCGTAGTGAGATAGTGAAGAAAATTAAAGCTATACTTTAGTGAGACTGGTTTTATTTTGTACTTGAGTATATCTATATTACTAATATATAAAGCTATAGAGTTTGTTTGTTGTTGTTGGAACGCGCTAATCTCAGGAACTACCGGTTCGAATTGAAAAATCTTTTTGTGTCGGTTAGAGCATTTATCGAAGAAGGCTATAGGCTTTAAAATCAGGCATCGCCCTGTGACTAATACAAGCGAAGATACAGCAAGAAATATCGGAAAATTATTCAGTTTATAAAGATGAAGGGGTTGGTTCGATTCTCAGCAGCTCCAACTTTTTTTCAAATAAATTTATAACTGTTCTGAAACATGTTGGCCTTTGTCTGAAAAAAGATATTAAATGAGTGGTAGGAATATTGAAATTCCGCCTGCGTCCCAAACCATAGGTCACAGATGAGAAGCCGTTACTTTCTGTCCGTCTCCCTTTATCATAAAAAAAATCTTTGTACTTACGATTTTTTACATTCAAATTTGATATCAGAAATCGTATGTCGTATCGGACATTGTAAATTCGCAGTGCACATCCTCGCCTGGTATGGAAAGCAGGACGTCGATAAGATTGATAGTTTTTAATCGGATTGACGTAATCTCTGAAAATACGTGAGAATAATTCGACTTTTAAATTTGTAATTCTTGTTTGTTTAATTTTCTGACGTATGTGATTTTATTTATTATTATCAGTCCAATATTTTCTTAAGACCTAATCTTGACTGATTAAGTGTATACACTATACATTAAATTGTTTTAGCCTCGAGAACGGGATTCGATGCCGGGCCCCGCATTAAATAGCATTAAAGAAGAACTCGGGTTAATCGGGCAGCCTAAAATCTAAACCTAATTTCAAATGAAATAATATTATTAGGCTTAAATATTGTTATGATATTTTCTCACCTTTAGATATGAGATGCTTATTTTTTTAATCAAACTATCCTACATTCTTTGATAACTGTATGTTAATGTAATTCTTTTAAAGACAGAGGAGAACAAACGAGCCGTATATATATAAAAATATATATATAAAAATAGTGCGCTGTTGTTAGGCCAACATAGGTGTTGGCTTATGGATGTCTAAGAATCCATAGAGTTTAAATGAGATTACACTTTACGGAGTTTCCACCTGTGATCAGCTGTTCGTGACCTGGGCGGAATTTTGATGTCCAGATTCAGGTTTTCAGAAAAGTGATTTTACAAACAACTTGCATCAAGCGATAATCGAACTCATCATTGTTGAATATTAGCAATGCTTCATTAACATTTGAGCGTCTGCTGAACGTTGAACTGTCTGCTGTAATTTTCGTGTTTCATTGTATTTAGAGAGATGGGGAGAGACGGGGAGATTTAAATAAAATACTTTAATGGTTTAAAACGCGACGTATATTAGTTAAACTTATTTGAAAATTGTTAAGGCTGGACGTTTCGGATGCGTTGCAGTAGCCGTGGTCGAGGAAGAATAAAGATGGAGGGTATCTAATGTCAAAGTATACTGCTACGCTAGCGCCATCTATTCCGTCACAGTTGGTATTTGGCATAACGGGCCGGGTCCTAGCAAAAATGACTGCGTCTTCGCGTTTGCCCATTGACAGCCGTGCTCACATCAGTTTAACTAATTTACTTTGCGTTTTAAACCGTTAAAGAGTTTTATGTAAAAGCGTACTACTCGCGTAAATTATAGACAGTATTTAACGTAGATTTTGTACAATTGTTAAGGAGCCAATAGTAAACAACTTACAAGTATTTAAATAAAACACTTTAACAGTTTAAAACGCGATATATTATTTAAACTTATTTGAAAATGAGTCTCCCCGTGACCACGGCTGCTGCAAAGCATCCGAAACGTCGGGCCGAAGTTAAAAATCATTTTCAAATAAGTTTAACTAATATATCGCGTTTTAAACCGTTAAAGTGTTTTATTTGAATGTGTACTACTCGCGTAAACTATAAATAGTATTTAACTTACGAGTATTTAATTTCGTCGTATTCATGTAATCTAATCGCAGTTGTGATTTTCGGCCATCAACGAGTAACATAATCATTATAGTTATAAATCTGTCTGATAATTATGCTTCTATGGAAGTCACACGCGCGAAAATAATCGTAATTCCTCTAGAGTTTTGGTCTCATTTTGCGTGTCAGGTGACCGGAAGTCGATTAAATACCTTCAATATTCCATATCGTTCTGGGTAATTCTACACATATTAACATATACAAAGATTGAGATAACTTATCGCTACCTATTAAACGATACAGATTATTAATTTAAAAAATACAGGGAACGGCACTAATGATGATAAAGTTCGAATCGTCAAAATTAATAAATTGTGATATTTCAAATAACATTACAGGAAATAATATTGAATCACATTTCATATATCTGGAACAAACGTGACACTAGAATGCAACATGTTTTTACAGGAATCCAAACGTAGGGCTCTGTAAAGTTTAGAGTTAGACCAAGCTTAGGACGTGTTACGTGACCAAGTTAGTTTCTGTTCTTCAGCAGATATAAGGAGTAACTTGTTATTGATATATAAGTAGAAAAATATAATCTGAATAACACTACTTCAAACTAGTTCAAATCTTTCTATTAACTTAGCGAGACAGTAGTAGGACTAAGTATTGTCTTTAGTTTACGCGAGTAATATACAATTTTTAATAAAAAGAAACCTGTTTAAACGCGAAGTGTATTAGTTAACCGACTTACAGTTGAGCCCCTCCGTGACCACGGCTGCTGCGAAGCTACCGACACATCGGGCCGCACTTATTTTTTAAATGATAGACGAGGACAGACAAGCAAAGGGCACACCTGATGAAAGGATTTCAGCCATAGAACATTTCCTCAAACTACTTTTTTTAGGATATGAGAAGAACTATAGACTGAAGTCGAAACGCGATTAAAATTCGCGATGCGGACGGAATTTCGATTTACCTACCACATATATAATATAGACACCAGACGTACTCCAACGTGTTTCAGACAAATTATAAATTGATTAGAATCCTGGAGAATGATAGAGTTCCCGTGGGGATTACTAGCCCCTATACATCCCTACCATTAAAAAAACGAGCTCGACTAATAAATTGTCGATATATTAACTTATTTAGCAAAAAGGAAACAAAATAGATACACTACTCTTCGTAATTTAAGGAATAACAATGGAGAATAAAGCAAGTTTATATATTTCGCGTTTTAGATCGTTAAAACGTGTTTCATTTAAAAGTACTAGGATTTATATTACAATTATAGTACGAGTATGTAGCCAATATTGACCGCCTCGTAGCTGTCTGCCTAGCATTGCATGGTTAAACGGCTATTGAATCCTAGGGAAACAAACAAAGTTGTTTCGGTCGGGCAGGGCACAAGTTTGATCAACTACTTGCCCGTTATAAAACGTCAATGAAATGACACAGAAATGTGTTCTCCCCATGCCCCACGAGGGGGAAACGGGCTTTCACTTATGTAGTAATACAAAACAGTATGGCATTGACTTATGCTAAAAACTTTGTCCTACAAAATTGACTCCGTCCCTCTATAATATGGCCCGCGGCTTGCCCAATACCGGTATTTTATTTCCATTTCACGAAGACGCCTTTACTGCGATGTAATAAAACTTATATTCCCTTGCAGTTAGATTAAATTTATAAAACGCTAAGGCAGTGCATTGCCTGAACACAAATAGGCCATCGTTATTTTCAGTACCCTATTTTATAGCAACGGCTCAACGTCCATTGGTTTGGTTATTTCGGACGTATTGCGTGTTAATAAAAAATGTTCTATCTTAGTTTAACAGAAAATCAATGTAAAGAAGTAAGTATAACATATAAGTACACATAAATCTATACTAATACTATAAAGCTGAACGCGCTTGGACGCGCTATCCTCATGAACTACTGGTTCCCTTTGAAAAAGTCTTGCTTTGGTCAGAATAATTATCGAGGAAGGCTGTAGGCTATTAAACATCATGTTGCGACTAATAGGAGTGCAGAAACGGTGGGAAATATGGATATAACGGGTAAGTTATCTTTGAGGGTTTCCGTTGGGTGAGCTGCGAAAACGGTTCAATATACCCATAGAATATGTAGACTTAGTAGAAGACAAACGTATACAGTATCTTTTAAGATTAACTTACAAGACAGAAAACAAGAGTTTTTATGGTAATCAAATTCTGATTAAAATAGTTCATATGGCAGTATAACGTTGGCTAGGTCGGCAGTTTAAGCAATTAGTACATTAAATTGTGTAAGGCTTTCACGGCCATCGTTCAGCATATCTTTCGGGCTTGTCGGCCGATGTGAGAGAGAAGGGGTATAAAGCATTTTCAACGGTTTAAAACACGAAAATTAACAAATTACTTTTAATTTCGGCGCTTTTCTGCAGCTGTGGTCAATAAAACAATAATAATATATTGCGCATTTTTTAATTCTTCGAGGTTCAATCGAGGAGTCAACATCTCCTGATGATGCCGTCCACACGTGATGGCGAAACGTCGAGAACCTCTTCTCGCTCACATCGGCCGAACAGCCCGAAAGACAATAATTAGTACATTAAAAAAAATAAACTTTCAAAATGCGCAATATATTATTATTGTTTTATTGACCACAGCTGCAGAAAAGCGCCGAAATTTAAAGTAATTACACATTTGTTAATTTTCGTGTTTTAAACCGTTGAAAGTGCTTTATTCAGCTTCGTTCTTAGAATCCCAACGACCGCGAC